TCTGGGGAGGGTGAGGAAAGAGGCTGGCAAAGGACACCACAGAAGAATTGCTTGGAGGATTGAAGACAGGGTGGCCAGAGACCATGGATTTAGATCCACAGCGAATCCTGCCGTGGTGGGACTTTTCTCTGTAGTAAGCAGCTGCCAGGGCATGGGTGTAGGGAAAGCAGGGCAGTTGAATCCTATTTTTAGAATCCTTTGAGTCTGAGAAGCTTTTTGTACCTGGAGGGGAACACTAATCACCATCTGTGCTTTATTTATTGTTTAATCTGTTTACTTCATACATCCATTTAAGCAAAGATTATCTAAGCATTTAAACATGATTTATATAACCAGCAAATCAAAGTCAACACATTTTACAAATCAAATTATTTAAACATTTACTGCAAACTTAAATTCTCCTCCATTTTTGGACAGAATCACCAGTATAGTACGCCAGCTTCTCTAAAAGCATCGAACATTTTGGTAAAGCGCATATATCCTACAAGGATTATAAAATGTATCACGTTGACATTTAAACCCATTATAAAAATTGGTTTGTAGACTAGAGATAGACACTATCTCAGCTGAGACCAAGTTTTGAATTTGGATATCCCAAAGAATATTATGTATAAAGAAACTGCAAAACTGTTTCTCCAGAGCATTTGAGAATGCTTTCCAGCATGTTATTGGTTTGGCTCAAACACTTCCAAAAATTCAAAAAATAAAAAGAAATTATGAATTCTTGGTTGGGGCCTTGGAACTGGTTTACCTTTTTTTTTTTTTTAATTAAAAAACTTTTTTTTCTTTATTGATTAGAGAGAGAGGAATAGAAACATCGATGAGAGAGAACATCCATTGGCTGCCTCCTGCATGCCCCCCACTGGGGATTTGGCCCACAACCTGGGCATGTGCCCTGACTGGGAATCGAACAGGCAACCTCTTGGTGCATGGGTCGACACTCAACCACTGAGCCACACCGGCTGGGCATGGTTTACCTAAGACGATTGAAACCTGAACTTATCTTGTTTATCATGGGAACTTTCATGCATTTAGTGTATTGTAACTGGATGCCTTTCCTTTAAATGAATGTCATCTTTAAGTTTAGTGACTATGATACACAGATGTCCATGCCCACATCCCTGGAAACCCTGAGTATGTTATATTTCATGGCAAAAGAAACTTTTTAATATGTGGTTCAGGTTATGGGCCTTAAAATAGATTATCCTCGATTATCTGGGTGGGGCCAATCTAATCACATGAGTCCTTAAAATCAGAGAACTTTCTCCACTGACGTCAGACATGTGGCAGAAGGGTAGGTCAGAGAGATGTAAACTGTGAGAAGGACTTGACCTGACATTGTCGGCTCAAAGATGAAAGGGGCCAGAGCCTCGGTCCTACAACCATGTTGGTGAGGAAAATTTATTTATTTATTTATTTTATCCTCACCCGAGGACACTTTTCCATTTTTTGTACAGATAGAGTGGGAGGGAGAGAGAAGAAGAGAGAGAGAGAAACATCGACGTGAAAGGGACACATCGAGTGGCTGCCACCCACACGACCAACCAGGGCCGGGGACAAACTGCAACCGAGGTACATGCCCTTAGTGGGAACCGAACCCGGGTCTCTCCAGACCGCAGGCCGATGCTCTAACCGCTGAGCCAAACCGGCCAGGGCGGACAATTTATTTTTTACCTTAATGTTCTTCTGGCTGCACCAATAATCAAATTAACCTGAGACAGATTAGCAGGAGAAAAACAAATTGAAGTTTAATCACATGTATACCTCCTGTGTCCATGGGACAGACCTAGGAGCACGGAGTTAACTTGCCAAATGGTGGAGACCATCACCTTGTAATACCACCATCAGCCAAAAGCAAAGATGTTGGCCATGGAGAGTCGGTTATGGGAGGTTACCAGAAAAAGCCCAATGAACAAGGGTAAAGTGATCACACAGATTTCAGTCCAGGGCCTTCTCCATTGATAGTGAAGGTAGGTTTGGTACAGTTAGATAATCACCCTTAAAGGGGGGGATTTCCCTTATAAATGTAAATGTTCTTTACAGAGGGTACCTTCTACTTGGTTTTCAGAGCATCTCCCAAGTCTGCTAGTTCTTAAAATTAACCAGCCTAAAATAATCAATATCCCAAACAGGCATATTTTGGGGCTGCAAACTCTGCTCCCCTTCAACTATAAGGAACTGAATTCTGAATGAGCTTAAAAGTAGATTCTCCCACTTCAGTAAGGACGGCGTCTTGCCTACATCTTGCTCTCGACTTGATGAAACTGGTGAGCAGAGATTCCCATCATGCCCTACTGGACTTCTGCCCCACAGAAACTGGGAGATAAATGGGTGTTGTGTGAAGCCACTATGTTTTGTGGCAATTTCTTACACAGCAATAGAAAACTAATACAGTAACTTTACTAACATTATTTACAAATTTATCTAGCTCATTTGCATTTTTAAAAACTTCTAGTTGTTTTTCCTGGTATGAAATCTCCTCTTCTTCCTTATTGATAAAACTCCTGAGTTTTAGCTGAGGCTGGCCGTCTGGAATAAACTATTTCCCAGTCTCTCTCTCTCTCACTCTCTGGTTTGGTGTGGATAGTTGTGACTAAATTCTAGCCAATAAAATACAATCAGAAATGTTAGGTGCACTCGGAGGAAGATCTTTAAAGGAAAGGGGTGTCACCTTTCTTCTTTCCTCCTTCCTGGGGTTCTAAGGCTCCTGTAATGGTTAGAGCTCAAGGAACCATCTTGTCAGGAGGTGATATGCTAAAGACAGGAAACAGCAAGAACGGAAACTGGGCTGTGATGCTCACAAAACTGCTGTCATATTGTGATTTATAAGAAATATATACTTGCTCTCACATATATTTGGTCTTCTTCCACAATTCTTGTCTCACAGCTCCTAAAACCCTTAGACTTCCTTAAGTACTGAGAGTGAAAAAGGTGTCTTCTGTTATTTAACGAAGTGACTTTTGGAAAGCACTTATGGATGGGGGCTGGTTGCCAATGGAGTCGACTAAATGATGGTTGGAACTTTCGGTCCCCCCACCCCACCCCCACCTCCAGGGAGAGGCGAGGGGCTGAAAGTTGGATCAATTGCCAATGGTTTAATTAATCATGCCTATATAATGAAGCCTTAACACACAAAAACAAACAAACAACAAGACAGGGTTCAGAGAGCTTTCGTGTTGGTGAGCACATGGAGATTTGGGGAGAGCGGCACCTGGAGAGGGCATGGACGCTCTGCGCCCTTCCCCACACCTGGCCCTGTGCATCTTCCATCTGGCTGTTCCTGAGGCTTTTTATTTCTTTATTTTTCCACTGATTTTTAGATATAGTGGAAGGTAGAGAGGGAGGGGGAGAGTGAGAGGGAGAGAAGAACATCAATTTGTTGTTTCACTTATTTATGCATTCATTGGTTGATTCTTTTTTTTTTTTATCCTCACCCGAGGACATTTTTCCATATTTTGTACAGATAGAGTGGGAGGGAGAGAAAGGAAGAGAGAGAGAAAGAAACATCGACGTGAAAGGGACACATCGAGTGGCTGCCACCCACACGACCAACCAGGGCTGGGGACAAACTGCAACCGAGGTATGCGCCCTTAGCAGAAACCGAACCCAGGTCTCTCTGGACGGCAGGCCGATGCTCTAACTGCTGAGGCAAACTGGCCAGGGCCATTGGTTGATTCTTGCATGTGCCGTAACTGGGGGTAGAACACAAAACCTCGTATCAGCACGATGCTCTAACCAACTGAGCTGTCAGGCCAGGGCTCTTGAGTCTTTTTTATAATAAACTGGTGATCTAGGAAGTAAATAACATATTTCTCTGAGTTCTGTGAGCCTCTCTAGCAAATTAATTGAACCCAAGGAGGAGGTTGGTGCTGACAAGAGAAAAACTTCTGAGATGTTCTAAATTAAAACCACAGCACAGAGAGAGAAAGAGACAGAACAGTTAGCCTGTTAATTGCTGTACGACAAAAGACTGCTCACATTCTTGCATATCTGTTGGAATTTAGAAATAATTTCCAGGTGGCTATTTCTGTGATTATCCAAGAAAGAATAGCGGGGCACCATTGAACCCCAGGAGTCTCTTCTTATTTGCACATGAGCTTTATGGATTCTGTTGCGCCCATCCCAGAACTAGCCCTGCCTCACCTTCCCCCATCCCCTTTGTCTATAGCTAATGCAAATTCTTTCAGAATAGCTTAGAGCCCCCCCACCCCAATATTGATGTACAAAAACACTTGCAAAACTCCTGGATGTCAGGCATGTTATCTTTTCCACTTAGCCATGTAGTGGTTTAGACTCCATACCTCAAGACTGGCCTTCTTTTTTGCTAGTAATGACCTGATAAATCCTTTCTTTTAAAAATCTCAGCCATGGAAGTTAAAAGTTTTTTTAAAGTATTTTTTTTATTGATTTTTAGAGAGAGAGGAAGAGAGAGGGAGAGAAACATTGATGTGAGAGCCAAACATTAATCAGCTGCCCCCCCCCCCCCCCGCATGTCCCCTACTGGAGATTGAGTCCGAAACTGGATATGTGACCTGACCAGGAATCGAACCAGCAACCTTTTGGTGCACTGGACAACACCCAACTGAGCCACACCGGCCAGGGTGGAAGTTCAAAGCTTTTTGTTTAACACTGGAACCCAGCCAGTTAATCAGAGGCACAGGTAACAACCTGGACTTGAGACTGGTGTCTGAACTGAGTTGCCAAGGAGGGTGGGTCATTGAAATCTCCAGTCTATAGGCAGTTGGTTAGAAGTACAGATAACAGCCTGGGCTTTCAGCGAGGGTCTGAAGTAAAACAGGGTGGTGCTATAGGACTGAATTCTTAACCTGTGGAATTTTTAAAAAATATTTTTCTTTGTTGATTTTAGAGAGAGAGGGAGGAAGAGAGAGATAGAAACATCGATGAGAGAGAACATCGATTGGCTGCCTCCTGCATGCTCCCCACTGGGGATTTGGTCCACAACCTGGGCATATGCCCTGACCGGAAATCGAACCTGCAATCTCTTGGTGCATGGGTCGACACTCAGCCACTGAGCCACACCAGCTGGGCAACCTGTGAATTTTGATGCAAAATTCAGGTAGGTAGTGTCAGAATTGTGTTGAATTGAGTCGAATTCTTGGATATCCTGCTGGTGTCTGAGAATTGCTCAGGGTTTAATGGGAACCCCCCCCCCCCGCCCCACACGCACACTTGCTTTGGAATTGAATCCACAAATCCAGAAGAACTGCCATTTATCCCAGGACTCTATTTGCAGATTCTTCCATGTGAGACAGAAATAATCTTCTATGTTGTTTAAGCCATTTTTATTTTGGGCCTACTTTTACTCTGACATTATAATTAGTTGGGTAACATAGATGCTCCCTTTCCCAAGAGATAAAGGATCAAGTTTGAACAGTGAGCTGTTATCTTTTGGACACTTTACTAATTCATCATCTTGTAACACACTGTTGAGCTTTCTTTCTTACTAGTTGTAATATATGACCATATGGTCGATCAGTCTCTTTCATTCTTGGTACAGTTCCAATCTTTCTCTGGAATTACTCACAGCTCTCTCTATGTACCCCTCCCTACTTATACAGATAAAGAAAAGTAAATGTACCTTATGAATAGTTAAACTACCTACTATATTTATACTCTTCAACTTATTAAAACAAACTAAAAATATCCCATTATAGTCAGTCTTCACTCAGTATATTAACTACCTTTTTGCATGCTTTATAGTGACTTTTTCCTTTTGGAATATCACTAGAGTCCTAAATTTAAAAAAATTCACCTTGTTCTAATTAACTATATTATTTTCCTTTTGATGATCAAATTGTCACAGAATGTCAGGTGGGAGTCTTTTAAAATTGGTTCCTTTGCCTGGCCAGTGTGGCTCAGAGGATTGAGCATTGTCCCATGAACTGAGAAGTCCTGGTTCAATTCCTGGTCAGGGCACATGCCCGAGTGTCCAGCTTGATCCCCAGTAGGAGGCATGCAGGAGGCAGCCAATTGATGTTTCTTTCTCACATTGATATTTCTCTCTCTCTCCCCCTTCCTCTTTCTGAAAAAATTCAATAGAAACCTATTAAAAAATTGGTTCTTTTGCCTTCTCAGCTGTACCCTAAACATCCTTGCTTATTGTCTTCAACAATGTTTCAGGCCTACAGTTACGATATGGAGCTATTCTCCAAAGAACCCTGAGTTCTTTTAAAGGTGAACTGTATTTGAGGCAAAGATCCAGGTGCTAAGAATGCATATCAGATTTTTTCCTTATGTTGTTTCTATGCTACTTTAGTGATAAAATTTGAAAAAAATATTTCTTTTGAAAACCACAAGTTCACATTGGTATTTTCTATTTAACTCAAGCATTACAAAATCCATTTTTATGCCCTGGCCGGTTTGGCTCAGTGGTAGAGCGTTGGCCTGCGGTCCAGAGAGACACGGGTTCTGTTCCCGCTAAGGGCGCGTACCTCAGTTGCAGTTTGTCCCTGGCCCTCGTTGGGGTCATGCGGGTGGCAGCCACTCAATGTGTCCCTTTCACATTGATGTTTCTCTCTCCCTCTCTCTCTTCCTCTCTCTCCCTCCCACTCTATCCGAACAAAAAAATGGGAAAAAAAAGTCCTTGGGTGAGGATAAAAAAAAATTCATTTTTATTTGACTCTAACATATAGTTTTATATTTATTTTCTCTATAACATATCCTGTAATCCCTGATCCAAACTGTAATGGCATCTTTTATCTCTAGTGAGCCTCTAGTGACTCATCAACTATCATTGTCTAGTTACTTCATCGATAGAGTCATCCATGCTAGGCCAATGGGAACAGCCTGGTGCAAGAGTTTATAATACTGGCAGGAGAGTGGTTGAAGGGATGAACACTGAAACCAAGGCAAAGGACGTTTAAGGAGGAGGACAAAACAGCACAGATTAGGAGAAAGAAGAGAGGTTGGGGGACAGTCTAGAACAGGTTCAGTACTAGATAGAGCTGGGAGGGAAGAAGTGGTGGTCAGAACATGGAGTGATTGAAGGTCAGACTACAAAGGTGGAGCATTTTTAGAAGGTTGCTATGGTCACTGTGTGTTCCATGCCTTCTTGTTTCCCTTTCTGCTCCTTTTGGTTTCCGATCTACACTTGCCCACATGTGACCTTCTACCCCCAGCTACAGCTGCCCAAGGAAGCGCTGTAAATCTGCTCTGAGCCAGAGCAAACACACACACACAACTCATGTCTTAGGTGGAGAGGTGAGAGCCAGAGTCCACTTGGGACCTGTACAGATAAACACCCAGGTTCACTGCTGGCTAGCTGCCCCAATGTACATGAAAAATGTGTACCTTGTCTAGGCTGGTCACATGTTCCCTTCCTTTCCTACCAGCCATAGGCTCTGGGCTGCTCAGGTACCCTCCCCACACTTCTACTGGTGGCTGAGCCTCCTGCCCCAGTCCATATGGTGCTGGCTCAGCTCCTGACTGTGTTGGCAGAGATCCGTGATGCTGGCACTCCTCACAGGAAGGAGCCTGCAGGGTATGCTGAGGCTGGTCCATCTGGGCCCTTGTGGGGGCCTGTCAGGCTCACCTATGCCACCTGTTTCCAAGTAACACTGAGCTAGAAGCTGGGGGTGGGGTGGGGTGGGGAAAGGAATAGCAGCGTCTGCAAAGTATTACAGGACTCTTTACCTGCCAAATCCTGCCCTGATCGTAGGGATTGCAGACATAAGATGCAATGAGAGGCTGTGAGGGCATTTGAGAAGAGGGTGCTTAAGAGGGGCCAGGTCTCGAGATACCATAGCTCTACTCACCACCTTGGGTGTTTGGCACAGGGTCCCATGCAAGAAGGTGGAATACAGGCAGCCAGAGGTAGCCTCTCTCCTGCCCCAAAGATTTTACTTCTAGGGCAGGAGAGGGCAGAGGTCAGGGGTTAGATCCCCAGTCCTTGAAAGGCTTGAGCCCTCAGAGTGGGAAGATGAGGAAGCCAGAGAAGCTTGAATATTTCCAGCCACCCAGCAGGTTCCCCCGACGTAGGCGCAGAGATACTCGGTCTCCGGGGTCCAGGGGCAGTAGCACAGAGCTGGTGGCTGCCTCCCGGGTCACATCAGGGTCATTGGCAAATGCTGAGATGACAGGCCATGTGTTCAGCATCAGGCTCACCTGGGAAGGGAGACCAGTTAGCATCTCTCCCCAGCCCTTGTCCTAGGACCTCACTTTTCTGAGGCTACCCCTCACCTCCCCAGCCCCAGGGGGACACTTTGGAACCTGAAGTTCAGTGCACTCTCCTGGGAGGGCTGAGGGGTGGCCAGTGTTAGACTCTGCAGTTCCTCCACTCTCTGTTAGGCAGGCCTTTTCCCCCCTTGCTCCTGGACCCCCAGGGCACAGGGCAATGGAGGGTCTTCCCAGGAGTCAGTTAGGCTCCACTTATTCTTCCCCTAACCCAAGCCTGGACAAGTATGGGGCCCAGTGCTCAGGTCACCTGGACGGTTTGGCGATTGTACACCTTCACCACATGGAACCGGAAGCTGTAGACACCCCGGACAGGGGCCACAAAGGAACCTGAGGCCCGATCAAAGCCACCGCCTTCATTCACCAAGACCTGGGGGAAAGCAGACTCTACTGAGTGGGCTGAGGACCCCTGGGGCTCAGGGAAACCACAGGGTTGGTGTATGGGCAGTGAGTAAGGAAATAAGGGGTGGCAAGTAGCTGCCAACAGGAGGAATGCATGGAGTCAAAAGAAAGAGAGAAAGAGCAAGGAGGGGTATGGGTAGGAGCGAAGGAAAGGGAGATGGGCAGTGGGGCAGAAGGGCAACTGGCCACAGCAGCAGCTGTTTCCTTCACAGCAGAGTGGGCTTGTATTTATTCCAGGTCCTTGCAGGGTAGGGGGTTACCTGGTCAAAGTAGATGGCCCCACTGGTGCCGTTGCCGGTCTCCCCTGCTGGCTCATGGTGGTGGCTTCGAACTGCAGCAAACGCCACTCTTCCTGGGGGCGCTTCTCCCAGAGCTGCTCCCCCAGGCCCCCCTGCAGCAGCTCTGCCAGGCTCACAGACCACCAGGCACTCACCCTCCAGGAGGACAGGCTCTGCCCCCTCCTGAGCCCGTCCAGTCCCCAGGGCCAGAAGCGTCAGGGCCAAGGGCAACCCGGTTTTGAATGTGAGCCCTGGTAGCCAGAGTTGCTTTGCTCCCAGCATGGCTGAGTGACTCTGACCCACAAGTCCTCCTGTCTTCTTGTCCCCCTTTCTGCTCCTTTTGGTTTCCGATCTGCCCCGGACTCACAACACCCCTCACTCTGCTCCTCAGTCCTCTCTCTCCGTCTTGCTGTCACCTGATCTCAGCATCTCCCTCTCCATACCTCTCTGTGCCCCACAACTCTGTCCTGCCTCTCACTCCTGCTGTCACAGCAGTTCCCTCCTCCTTGGCAGGGCACAAAATGACAGCAGTCGGGCTCTGGGAGGGAGAGGAGAGATGAAGCAGCCAGACGGGAGGGCTACAGCCAGAACCCCAGGACAGCCCCTCCGGAGAGCAGTGAAGGCTGGAGCTGGGACCACAGAGAACGTGGGTGTGTGTGAGTGTGCATATGTGCAAGAGACAGTTCCATCGGCCCTTTTCCTCCTCATTCCTCCCCTCTCCAAAACCCCTCACAGGTGTACAGCACTCGCAGGGGCATCGTCTCCATTGTTAGTAAGGAAAGTCCTTGTCTTTTTCCCACAGTTGTTTTGGTGGGAACGTGCTTGGGCCACCAGTGTCACTATCTTGTGTCACTGGGCCAGTCCCTTTTCCTCCGTGGCCTTCCAATAACTTCATCCGGAGGAACTGGATTAGTTCCTTGAAGGCTCTCTTCACCTCCAACTCTCCCTGAGTGGTTCCTTTTTCCTGGGAACTACGGAGAACAGCAAGAACTCAGAGGCTTCTGGAGGCGTAGGGAGACCCGGAGAACGCGGGCAGTGGGCGGGGCCGAGGCCGGGCGCGGGGCGGGGCCTGGCGGGCCGGGGGCGGAGCCTGGCGGGGCGGGGGCCGGGGCGGGCGCGCGCCGGGGCGCTGTGCAGGCCCAGTCCCCGGAGGGGCCCGGCTGACTCCGCCTCCGGCCAGGAAGTGACTCAAAAAAACAGTTCGAGATGTGAAGAGAGGACTCAGTTGGGTGAGAAATCCGGGAAGGCCCGCCCAGATTGGAGTCCCCCGCCTTTCTCCCCTGGGCCGGGAGCGGGGGCGCGGGGAAGTTGGGGCCCACGGGCACCTAGAGGCACCGGCGGGCGAGGACGCAGCGGGCGGCCAAGGCGGGTAGGGCGCCCGGGCCGCGGATCGGAGGCCTCCGTGCGGAGCGTGGCCGGGGGCGGCGGCCGCCGGAGGCTGTGGGCGGGGCTCGGTCCGGCCCCTGGGCCCGGGTGGGGTGTGTGGCGCAATCTAGAGGGGGTGGCAGCGGACGGCGGAAGGAGGGGGAGGGGTGAGGGTAGCTAGAACCTGGGAAATGGCAGACGAGGGACTCCAGAGGACAGCGCTGTTCAAGCCCTGGTGAGGATCCATTTTAAAGAGGACGTCTTCGACCCAGGGATCGCCGAGTCCCCGAGGAGAGGGACTCTCTCGTCCCCTCCACTCTTGCCCCTGACGGAGCTGGAGCTCCCCCGCCCCACTGCCCCTTCCTGCTGAGGGCTGTGGTCATCCTTTTACAAAGGCCAGACGCCCATCCCAGAGAGACAGCCTTGTTTATCCATGACGTCCTCTTTGGAGAGAAGGCCCGTGCCCCTGACATTCTCCTCCTACCCCCAAGATGGCCCAGGATCTCCTGGGTTGTTTACAGTATTTGTAACTAGGTGCAACCTGTTGGTGGCTGATATTGCCCGGGAGACCCAGATTTGGGTTGAGGGGTCAGCGAGGCTCTGAGCCGCCTTTCTTACTTGCAGGTCTGGGTGGCCAAGCAGCCATGCCTACCTGGGGGTCTGGCTCTCCGTCCCCTGACCGCTTTGCGGTGTCTGCGGAGGCCGAGGACAAGGTGGGGGAGCAGCAACCCCATGTGGAGCGCATCTTCCGCGTGAGGATGAGCGTCCTCCCGAAGGACTGCCCAGAGAACCCTCACATCTGGCTGCAGCTGGAGGGTCCCAAGGAGAACGCCAGCAGAGCCAAGGTGAACGCCCCTCTCTGACCCTTCCGGGAATAATGACTTCCTCCCCCACTCAGAAGCAGGGGAGAGGAGAAGCTGGGAAGAATCTCCACTACTGTTTGTTACATGGGCGACCTCAGTGGTCCTGAGCTGTGAGAGAGTCCCCAACTTTGTATTTTCTTGGAGTTTTTGTTTCATTTCTGCTGTGATGACCTAGCTTCTGCCAGGGCTTGGAGACAAGTGATTCAGTTCAAATTAGAGTGTGCTCGTTGGGAGAGTAGAAAAAATCCTGTTGGGCAAGCAGGCCTCATCAAGGAATTCACTGTAGGGAGGCCAGGCCTGGGTTCCAGTATAGCTCTACTACCTACCAGCCCTGTGGCGTGAGTCTCAGTTTCTTTTTCTATTAAATGCAAATAATAGCAATAACCACCTCACTAGGCTTATCATGAGTGAGATAAAGCATGAGTTCAGTAAACATAGGAAATGGCAATCATTCTGATAGAAATACACAAAACACAACGCACACATAAATATTTAGAGAGACAGTCTTGTAACCAATTAATTATAATTATATCTTAAAGTCATTCAAGTTCTAAATGGAGATACTAACCACAGCTGTCAGCTGGAATGGGAAGGAAGCGAGATACTTGATCCCCTTTTAACCCCGACCTTTGTCATGATCTGTGGGGCTTCATTGCTCTGCCCAGGCATCCTGGAGCTCAGGGGAGAGCAGTGAGCCCGAGGAGGCTACTGGGCCACTTAGGATTCCAGCAGTCTCCCTTTTCTCTACCTTCACCCCTTTTTTCTCCCAGGAGTACCTGAAGGGTCTCTGTAGCCCAGAGCTGCAGGATGAAATCCACTACCCACCCAAACTGCACTGCATCTTCCTGGGGGCCCAGGGCTTCTTCCTTGATTGCCTGGCCTGGAGCACATCAGCCCACCTGGTGCCTGGGGCGCCTGGCTCACTGATGATCAGTGGCCTGACGGAGGCCTTCGTCATGGCTCAGAGCCGAGTGGAGGAGCTGGTGGAGCGGCTGAGCTGGGACTTTCGGCCAGGGCTGTCTCCTGGAGCCTCTCAGTGTGCTGGAGTGCTGAGAGACTTCTCTGCCCTGCTGCAGCCCCGGGGGGATGCCCACAGAGAAGCCCTGCTGCAGCTGCCCCTGGCCGTCCAGGAGGAACTGCTGAGCCTGGTGCAGGAGACATCCAGGGGGCAGGGGGTCCAAGTGCTTCCCTCCTGGGAGGGGGGGAGCCCAGACCTGCTGGGTGTTCAGCACCAGGGAGTCAGAGCTCCCCTGAATGAAGGCAGGGGGTCCCTGGAGACCGGACCTACAAGGTGGCCAGAGCCAAGGGGAGAGAGACCTGCTATGGAGAGGGAGGGAGGGAAGCAGGGTCGTCCCAGGGAGATGGATTTGGGAGCGAAGGAGCTGCCTGGGGAAGAGGCCTGGGAGAAAGAAGTGGTCTTCAGGTCACAGTCACGGGGAGGAGAGGCAAGGCAAGAAGGGCTCCTGAAGAAGAAGGCCCTGGGGAAGGAGGGGGGGCCTCAGGAAAGAGAAGGGTTCTGTATCCAGGGTGAGCCTCCTAGTGCCCAGGGCCCCTGTCATAGGGCAGCTCAGCTCCGGGGAGCCTCTCTCCTCCAGCGACTCCACAATGGGGAAGCCTCACCTCCCAGAGTGCCTAGCCCCCCACCTGCACCTGAACCCCCATGGCACTGTGGAGACCGAGGAGACAGGGGAGACAAGCAGCAGGTTGTGGTTCGAGGTCGGGGGTCTCCATGGAAACGAGGCACCCGGGGGGGCAACCTGGTGACTGGCACACAGCGTTTCCAGGAGGCCCTACAGGACCCTTTTACCCTGTGCCTTGCCAATGTACCTGGCCAGCCAGACCTCCGCCATATTGTCATTGATGGCAGCAACGTGGCCATGGTGTGAGTACCAGGTGGGGCTGAGGGTCCTGGGGAGGGGGTTGAGATGGGCAGTTTTGTTCACCTGGGGACATGTGCTGAGAGGTGAACCCTTTAGCCAGGCTGTCAGGCCCTCCTCTGGGGCCCCAGAGTGCTGACCCGTTCCCACTGCAGGCACGGCCTCCAGCACTACTTCTCCAGCCGGGGCATTGCCATTGCCGTGCAGTACTTCTGGGACCGTGGCCACCGGGACATAACTGTCTTTGTGCCTCAGTGGCGCTTCAGTAGGGATGCCAGGGTCAGAGGTGAGTTGGGGCTGGTCTTTTGTGTCCTAGGATAGACGCTGCTTCTGCCTTGAGGATAACCATGTTGTTCTCCTCTGTTTCTAGAGGGTCACTACCTGCAAAAGCTCTACTCCCTCAGCCTGCTCTCCCTCACTCCCTCCCGAGTCATGGATGGAAAGAGGATCTCCTCCTATGATGACAGGTACTTGCTTCTCTCCTGCCCCAGGCCCCTATTCAAGGAGCCCATTGGGAGAGCGAGGGACAGCCAGAAGCTCCTGACCCTTTGCACTGTTTCTAAGCCTGGGTATTGGGCAAAGGGCCAGTTATTCCGCTGTGTGCCTCTATGACTGGGCAGGTAAATCTGCCCCACAGGTGAGATGAGATGGACGGTAGACAACTGTATTTGTTCATTCATCATTCATTTTTTATTCATCAAACTAAACAATGCTTTGTATTTATATAGTGCCTACTGGCTAGAAAATACCACTTTAATGGAAAGATGGGAAAGCTTATGACATGGATAGCTGACAAATACCTTCTTTTTTTATTTTTATTTTTTATTTTTATTTTTTTATCCTCACCCGAGGACATTTTTCCATTTTTTGTTCAGGTAGAGTGGGAGGGAGAGAGAGAAACAGAGAGAGAGAGAGAGAGAAACATCGATGTGAAAGGAACACATCGAGTGGCTGCCACCCGCACAACCGACCAGGGCCGGGGACAAAGTGCAGCCGAGGTACGCGCCCTTAGCGGGAACCGAACCCGGTTCTCTCAGGACCGCAGGCCGACGCTCTAACCGCTGAGCCAAACAGGCCAGGGCGACAAATACCTTCTTACAATCTAAATTTCCAAACATGCAGAGAAATTCCCCCAACATTCTGGAAAAACTAGAGTAAATGTTCAAAATAACAAGTCAGATGTAGAAATACAATCCATGCATGATAACACAAAACAAAACATAAATAAAACACAGTGTAATTAGGAGATCACTGGACCTAGAATGAGATGATGTGACTTGGAGCCCAAGTTGCACGGCTCTGACTGTGCGCCCGCCTCGTAGTGAATTAACCTCTTGTCTCACAGTCCTCTTCCATTCATTCAAGATCCTTGTGACTCAAAAGAAGAAAGGTTATGTGCTTTTCTCACTCAAGGTGCTAGGCAAGAATACAGTGATGTTTCTTAACTGTTCATGAACCCAGTCGTGTGGCAGAGGTCTTATCTCTCTAATACAGAAATGGAGCAGAGGCTAAGAGTGGTTAACTCTCTTGGCAAAGCCTACTAAGTGGCACAGGAAAAATGATAATTTAAAGTTGCCAGATGGCCCTGGCTGGTTTGGTTCAACAGAGTGTCGGCCTACGGACCAAAGAGTCCCGGGTTTGATTCTGGCCAAGGGCACATACCTCGGTTGTGGTTTGTCCCTGTCCCCTGATGGGGTTGTGTGGGTGGCAACCAAGTGATGTGTCTCCCTCACATCGATGTTTCTTTCTCTCCCCCTCCCCCTCCCATTCTGTCTGAAGATAAATGTAAAGATATCCTCGGGTGAGGATTAAACAACAAAAAAATAAAGTTGCCAGATGGTTTAAATGAAGAACACAGGACACATTCGATTCTCAGTGTACATAAACAGTGTGGGAAATGGACAAATATACACACACACACACACACACACATATATATATATAATAATTTTATTAATCCTCACTTGAGGATATTTTCCCATTAATTAATTAATTATTTAATCCTCACTCAAAGATATCTTTCCATTGATTTTTAGATAGAGTGGAAGGGAGGGAGGGGGAGAGAGAGAGAAAAAGAGAGAGAGAGAGAGAAAAACATCAATGTGAGAGAGACACATCAATTGGTTGCCTCCTGCACACATCCCAACTGGGGCTGGGGGTTGAACCTGCAACCCAGGTATGTGCCCTTGACCAGGAATCTAATCTGCAACCCTTCTGTGTACAGGCTGATGCTTTACCACTGAGCAACACTGGCCAGGGCGAAATGGGCAGACTTTAAAAGCTAATTAACCATTTAAAAATGTTTAGAACCACAGTTCTTTATTATCTCAGTTTTTTAGTTTTAAATAAAAAACTAATTTCCAAACCACAGTGATTATATGTTTTATTTTTTCAAGCATTTAATTTTTTGTTCCTAATAAGTAAATGAGATTCTACAAAAAGGCAGTTCACTGTCTCCTGATGTGTTTGTTTTGTGTCTAGGTTTCACAGGTATATGGCACCTTCTTTCCATACCAGCATTGACAGGGAACTGAAACTGAAAGTCAAGTCAGTTGTTAGGAATTTTAAAGCCATGTGTTTGTATAGTTGTGTAGGTCCTGGTAGGCTGACAGCACAATGTGAATTTGGAGTTTACAGTGACTAACAGTGGCGCACAGCATAGGCCTACTGGGTGAATACAGCTAAACAACGTAATAATGATAAATATGCTTAGTCTGAAAATACCTTTTTTCTTTTGTATATTATATGACACCATAAACAGTTGTACATCTCCTTAATTTGTCTCCCAGACAGAAACTCAGAACCAGACATCTGTCACACCTAACCCTGATTACTAGTCCCCTGTATGCCACACTGTCTTTCAGATACCGACTGCCAACTGAGTGCTTGGTGTGGGGCTTGCAGAAGGAGGTGGGGGTGCTGGGAATTTGATTTTGAAAAGCCAAAAGAAACTAAATCAAACACTTCAGGAACTTGGAGGAAAGGGAGCTCACTTCTTGATGGGGTTTTGTGCGAAGGGAGATTTGTGTTTTTCGATGATAGAGAAGGATATGGGATGAGCCAGATCTCTTGGTTTCTAAACTTGTTTAAAAAGATCCTGACCCACCTCTTCATGAGTCTGCCCCTAGTTCTGTGGAATCAGGAGTACTCAAGTGAGGCCCAGGCATTTTTATTTTTTGAATTTTTAATGACTGAAACAAAAAAAGATCTAAAAGAACAGCTTCTGGAAAACCATTTGTTCTTGCTGGTCTTGTATCTCTCTTCGAACTCGACCTTGGCCTCCTGCCTGGCCTTGCGTTTCAGAGCAGGTCTCTGAAGACATCTTTGTTGACGACAGTTTTGTCCAAGGGGATATCCACAGAGTATTTTGTGGGCATAAGGTGATTGTAGTTCTAAACTATCACACAAAACTTGATCTTTGACCTTTTGGCAATTTTCTTCTTGCCCATGGCAGCTGTCACTTTGCGGGGATAGCGGTCAATTCCAGCCACCAGAGCATGGCTGTAGGGGCGGTCTGAGGTGCCATCACAGTGTTCTTGACAATGACTGCTTTGTGTTCGGAGTAGCGTCTGGCCAGGACCAGCAGCACTTTCCTGGGTTTCATAAACTTGCCCACTTCGAAGGTAGCCACCTGGGCCTAGAACAGAAAGGAAAAAGATGGCATCTCTTTTTTTCAAAAAAGTTATACCCTGTGTGTTCATCAGTGAGGTTTAGGATCACCTTCCAGAGGAGGGAATAATTTGAGAAACAAGTCAGAGCATGTTTGAAGAACAGGATGTAATCTGATCATTGATTTTGGCACCAGTTGAGAGTGACTTTGGGAATACTGGGAGAGTAAAGGCCATAAAGGTGGCTGGATCTTGGTTCTAGAGGGGTTTAGCTGCCAGGCCTGGGTATGTGGACTTTATTCAGTAGATAAAGGGCAGGTATGGAAGAGATTTGTGTAGCTGAAGAACGTGTTCTCTTGGGGGAGGGCAGGAGAGACTGGAGGGTAGTAAATGGCAGGGGGTAGGGGACCCCCTTATCTGTATCTCAGTTGCAATGTCTGAATAGCTAAGGTGGTAATGGTGGGACTGGAAAGGAAGGGGACAGAATGGAAGGCTTTTCAGAGGAAAAACGTGATACATTTTTGACGGATTATTGATGGATTTGTGACTGATTGTAGAGTGGAAGAAAGAACCAGGGCTAGATCTTACTGCCTTACTAACTAAACACAAAATGTTGGGTGGAGGATTGTGGTGAGTGGAGGGGATGTTCTTGGGATTCCATGTTGGATTTGTCTTTATTTTCTCTCTGAGCCATGGCAGCTGTATCCAGTCAGTCCCCTGGTGGCTGGGTCAAGGTAAGGGGTGGCAGATCTCCATCACCAGACATGGGTCATGTGAGTCGATAGTGCTCTTTGGGGTTGAAGCTTTGGAGAATTCCAGAATGCTGCCATGGTTTTTGAGACAGGTTCATGGTGAAGTTGGCTGAGGAGACCGACGGGATCATTGTCTCTAACGACCAGTTCCGGGACCTGGCGGAGGAGTCTGAGAAGTGGATGGCAATCATCAGAGAGCGGTGAGGGGGCATCCCCTGAGAAAAGGGCTTGGACTCAGACCTTTCTCTAAAACCAGTTCTGCTGTGCACCGGGTGAGGACTCTGGGAAGGGGCTTGACACTGGTTTGGAGGATGATAGCTGATAGCTGTGGTGGAGTTGGCCTCCGCTATTTGGGAGGTGAGCAGGGGCCCCTCTGTGACCTTTACATTTTCTGTCCCCATCCAGCCTGCTGCCTTTCACCTTTGTGGGAAACCTCTTCATGGTCCCTGATGACCCATTGGGGCGAAATGGTCCCATGCTGGATGAGTTCCTGAAGAAGCCAGTCAGGTAACGCTCTAGACTCACCTAGGCTGCTCCTGGCCCCAGCCTCCTTTCTGTAGGGGCCCGTGTGGGCCTGGAGACTTGGAGGAAGTGTGACGTCAGTCTGGGCCAGCGTAATTCTGTAGTGGTTTAGGTTGCCTTTAACTACTTCACTGGAAATCCGGTCATAGATCCTCCAGTCTGGGAGGGAAGCTCCTGCTTCCTGTTTCTGCTATCAGTGTTTGCTGGAGTTGTTTGGAACATGGTTGCTTTTACTTATAGCCACTTGTATTCAGAACGCCCTCTGCTGGACCATTAAGTAAGTGATTAATTTATTAGGCTAGAACTAGATTATAATGGCAGGGTTCACCTTGTGGTTTCAAAGGAGCTCCATCTCCCCTTCAGAAGTGGGTTGATACTGCCACTCAGTGGCCAGCTTGGGGAACTTCAGAGCCAGGAATAGGCAGGGCAGTTGGCAGCAATGGAGTAATGGGAGGGCCAGGCTTAACTTCTCCCCAGGGTGCACATCACCTCTTCTTTTCCCTCTGTTGCTTCCCAGGACACAGGGGTCTTCTAAGGCTCAGCATTCTTCCAGGGGCTTTGCAGAACATGGTAATCAGCAGCAGGGGAGAGAAGAGGAGGAAAAAGGCAATGGTGGCATTCGGAAGACCCGGGAAACAGAGAGGCTCCGGCGCCAGCTGCTGGAGGTATTTTGGGGCCAGGATCACAAGGTGGACTTCATCCTACAGCGGGAACCATACTGCCGGGACATCAACCAGCTCTCTGAGGCCCTGCTCAGTCTCAACTTTTGAGCCTCACCTGCCCCAGTGGCTGCCACCCCATCAGCTCCAGCCTTGCCTAGCTTAGTCCCTTCTGTGAGGGTCCCTGTGATGCTCAAACCCTGACCCAGACCCACTCTGAGTTGGTGTGTTGGGTGAGAAGCACTGAGGAAGAGCATTCGAAAGTGGGGAATGCTCTTGCCTGGGGCACTTTGGGGACAGGTCCATAAAGTGACCTGATCTCCTCTTGAATCAGGGCCTCAACCAGCTCTCAAGGGGTTCTGTTCAGCCTTAACTCCTCAACCTTGCCTTAGCACAGGGTTTCTATAGGGAGTTGGGGCTGCTGGAAAAGATGGGTCCTGGAGATTGGGACTGCAGCTCCTCCTTGAAGCTGAGTTGAGGATGGAGGCTGGGATGGGCCGGAGGGGAATGAAGACAGATGGCAAGGAAGCTGAGCCCCTCCTACCCTCGGCTGCTGCTCTGGATAGCCAGAGTACAGGATACTTTCCAGGGCTGGTAGGGCCCCTGAGAACCTTGAAAAGGGAATGCTGGACCCTGGAAAGGCTAGTGTGATGGGGTCTGGGTCACAGTGGGGCAGCAGGGAGCTGGTAAGGAAGGTAGGAGGAGACTTGGCTTCTGGTCTCAGCTGTGCCTGTCTGTGACCTTGATTGAGCTACTTGGTCTTTACTTCTGCCTGTAAATCAGATGTAAAAATGCCTGTTGGGATTAATGAGAACATGGAAGAGGGCTCTTTGGAGGAAAAGTACTTGTACCAAGTCTCAGGTGTGTCTGTCTGTGGCCACACAGGCTTCCAAACCAAAACCTCACTTTCAGAGAACTAAGGGTCCTCTGTCCCCAGGGCCTGTGCCCTAGACTTTAACACTGCATCCTCATGATGTGCCCTATAATGGCTGCGTTCCTTTGGGCAACCCCCAAATCCACATTTACAAAACAGTTAGTTAGGGGTGACTGTTTGCATTACCAAAATACTCTCAGGGTTCCTCTAAATGGCAGCTCTCCTGTTGCATTCAAGTGTTTGTTTACAGATTAACGAATGTGTCAGAAAGTCCCGTTCAATGCACTTGCTGTGGTGTTGCGCATTCACCAAACTGTTGGAAGCCATGCTCTGCAATGACAATGTTAATGTGATCTGACCCTAGCCTTTTCTCTAAGGAACACATATGTTGCATAAAGTGAGGCTGACTTCTGCTTTGTGTGTGTGTATATGGGGGTGGGGGTGGGGTTAAAGAGATTGTATCTAGGTGAACCAATTATCTAGAAAATGAACACTGAAGAATCAGAATAGGGAGAATCAGACCAACTGCTGTCCCATCAGAACATTCTCTCCGCCCTGAATCCTACAGGTCATTGTCCTGTATCTGCTTGAAGTCCTCCTGTGCCAGGGAATGGATTACCTCCAAGGTAGCGCATTCCTTCCGGACAGTTTACTAGTCCTTCCTTTATATCCCTATACACTCTTCTGTACTCCTGCCTGTGAGGCTGGTCATTTCCCTAGCAACAATTTAGGGTCAGTCAACTTCCTAAAGAGCCCAAGACCAGATAAAGAAGAGGGACAGGTGCCACAGGGTTCTGTGTTATCTGGACCCTGCAGCAAGTCCCTGAACATGATCCTTTTCAGGCTCTGGCTTCTGCTCCCTGAGCAGCATGGGGAGCTGAGGACTGCCACCTGAGTTCTTCATTCCAGCAACTGGTGGGAGCTGAGTGATGGAGAGGGTCTCTGGGTCCAAGTGTCTCTGCTACTCGTCCCTGTTGGTGAAGTATATCACTAGACCTTACTGACTTAGACTGGGGACAGGTGTGTGGGAGAGAGGCTAGCTAAGGAGGTGACGGTGACAAAGTCCCCTTGGAAGAAAGGAGACTGGTTAATTAGAGGTGACAGTGACAAAGTCCCCTTGGAAGAAAGGAGACTGGTTAATGGCCCAACTCGGGGGGCTAGAGGAACTATTGGTCAATTTGTGGTAGATATCAGGGTAGGTAAAAAATAAAAAGGGGGTCCTGCCCTGGCCGGTTTGGCTTAGTGGTTAAAGCGTCAGCCTGTGGACCAAAGAGGTGCAGGTTCCATTCCCATCAAGGGCATGTACCTTGGTTGCGGTTCAGTCCAGGTTGTGGTCAGGGTCGTGCGGGAGGCAACCAATTGGTGTGTCTCTCTCTCCCTCACACTATCTAAAGATAAATGGAAAAATATCCTTGGGTGAAGATTTAAAAAAAAAGGGAGAGGGTCCTAAATGAACATTTGGGATTTTTACCCCTAATGGAGTTGTAGTTTTTGGTATGTTCCTTGCCCTTTTCACTTTCAGTGATGGTGGGTATGCAGTAGGCCAGAGGTATCTTCCTGTCCCTTTGTGCCTGGGACTCTTGTTGACTGAAGTGGGCTCCATCAGATGTTAGGCCAGTCCTAAGCCTCCTACAGGGGTGTTGGCTTACTCCTGCAGCTTGATGAACTGGGACCAGTGTGTGATCACTTTATTAATTCACTGCCATTCACTGACAGACTGAAGGCTGTCCTAGACTTGGTCATCTCTTCCTCTGGTGGTATCCTAATGATACCATGTGCACAAGTATGCAGGATGACCACAGAACCCACTGGAAATTTGGATCATCACTTCTCTTGTCTTGTCTCTAACTCTATCATAACCTCATGCCCCAAATTTGTTTCTACCTCTTGGCAATGGAGGGAACAAAAAGGGAGATGTAGCCCATTCGAACTTTCAAAACCCCACATAGGGGAGTCATTTAGGGTGACATTCCTTGAAATAAATTCAGGCAGAATCTAGGTCAAAGAGATGAGCTAAAGCTAATGAGATAATTTATCTTTATTGTCTTAACTATAGAGCATTCACTATACAGCAAAAGAGAAATGGGGCAGGAATGGGACATACAAGGAAACTAAACTTGGAAATTCTTTTACAGGAGTTGAAGAGGTTAAGGTCCCAACTTGATGAAATTGCAACCTTCAAACAGTGGACAGTCAATTAAATAAAATGCAGCAACAGAATAATAAGAGGACAGGGAGAGGAATCCCTAAAACTGGGTGGTTCCACATCTCAGGTAAAGGAGTACCTGATCCTATTCACAGTCTCTAACTGGGAAGCTTCTGTTGAGAGGGACAGGCCTTAGGCCCTGCCATGAACCTCCCCACTTAGGCTATGATTTCTTTCAAGGCGGCCCCCAGCTCTGGGAAGGAGTATTGGTAGCCAGTGGCCAGTGTCCGCCGTGGGACCACCTTCTGGCCCTCCAGCAGCATGATGGCACGTTCTCTTCCAAAGACAGCTTGCACAACAGTGCTAGGGAGAGGGATGAAGGCTGGGCGGCCTAGGGCTGTGCCCAAGGCCTGAGCAAACTCAGCATTTGTAGTGGTAGAGGCTGGAGACACTCCATTGAGGACACCCTGCACGTGGCTTGCTTCAAGGGCATGGGCCAGGATCCCTGCCAGGTCCCCAATATGAATCCAGGGGAAGAATTGTTGGCCGGAGCCGATGGGGCCCCCCAGGCCCAGGCGGAAGGGCAGCAGCATATGACCAATGGCACCACCCCCACGGCCCAGCACAACCCCTAGAGGAGGCAAGAAGGATGGTACAGGGAGGCCCCTCAGCCTCCTGGCAAGCCCCACTGTTCCTCATTGCCCCTTCCTCACTCTTCCCATTCTGGCTTAGCTCTAGCAGTCCAAGGGTATGGCTCTTGTTGGGACTTCCCATCCTCCCATCTGCAGGTTGGCCAGAAGAGGTAGAATACATACTCAGTAAGCTTAGCTCCCCTTATCCCCCCAACTCCCCAAGCCCAGAGATGTTTCACCCTGCTTGACACACAGGCCCCTTGTTCTCACCAGAGCGCACCACCACCTGGCGTGTAGAATCTCCAGGAAGCCTGGCTGCAGCTTCCCATTTGGTTACAAGGTTGGAGAAAAAGTCAAAATCCCCTCCTGGGCTGTCCTCATCATACTCAGCAGTCAGGCTGGGCTGGTAGTAAGCTGCCGGAACAGTGCTTGTTTGCCCTGGCTGTCCCGGGTCCTGCCTGTTCCTTTGCACTGAAGGTCTCCCTTGGCCTTACTCTCCTTGGCCCTTGGGATCTCCCCATGGGATGAAGCCATGGGTATTTTCCCCTTGAGCTTCTCTATTAGCTGACTTGTTACTGCCCTGGAGTAGTACCTTTAGCTGCAGGGTTAAGTTGAGCAGCTGCTAGGGTGTAGTGGTTAAGAATAAAGATATCGGTGCCAAGCTGACTGACTTTAGACAAGTTACATAAGCTCACTGTGCAGAATTTTTGCACCTTTAAAATGGGAATAATAGTACCTACCTCATAGGGTTCTTATGAGGATTAAATGGCCAGAGGTGAAATACAAGAATCAGAATTCTGTTCCTAAAGGACTGTGCTGTGAGAAGCAATGGACTTGGGAGTACGGGGATTTTTTCCTTGCACTGGGAGCAGTACCACTCCACCCTCTTTCTCTGAGGGTCCCTGTTTCTCAGTGAAAGTACACATAGGTCAGGAGAAACATGCGTGGATCAAGGGCCTAGGAAGAAGACCTCTGGGCATGTATACTATAAGGGCCGGAGCTACCCCCCTCACTGTGTACTCCCTTCCCCTGGTTAATGTCAGGGGTTGGTGATTTGGGGCCTACCTACACCTGTGACTAAGACCCAGGCTCCGAGGGGTTGTGGGGCCTTGCTGATGGCTCTAGCCAGCAGCTGGGTGGTCTCCAAGCGGCTGCTGAGAACCTCTTTTTGGAAGGCTTCATTCCACCTGCAGGAGAAATGGGAAGTAAGCTGCTGAATACATACATGCATGTATGTATTCCCTGAGGCCTGTCCAAACCCATTTCTAGTAAAACTTGTACTGCGGCTTGGTGAAATTGTCCATCTCTCCTGTAGAGGGAAAAGGCATATCCTTTTTGGGCATCCTGAATGATAAGTAAAGGCCAGTCACCTGGCTGAGTGGGTGGAAGTGAGGGTGGGTTTGGAGGAGGGGGCGGGGTGAGTAATCCGGGATCGGGGAGCTCCATTCTTCACATCTCAGAGGGTCTCACCAGAGTCATTCCCTCTCCTGCGCTGAAGGATATCCGTTTTAGGGCCCAGCACCGACTGACCTTCGGAGAGGGTTAAGGATGTTCTCTCCAGCCAGGTTGACGGCGGCATCGCAGCGGGGCAGCCCCGACGTAGCCAGCTCATCCTGTCAGAGAAAGCGCACAGTGCCCACCTCGCCCGCGCCGCCCAGTCGGGGGGCCCCCCACCCCCTGCTTGCAGGGGGTGGACGTACCCACGTGATCCGGCCCGGCCCGGGCTTTCGGGAGACCAGTGTCACTTCGTGGCCTCTGGCTTTCAGCAGCTGGGTGAGGGCTGTCCCAATGAAGCCCGTCCCGCCACCTGATCAGAAAACACAAGGTGTTTATCCTCCAGGGGGTGCCTTCCGTCCCGCACGTGGCCCCCTCTTCTGGTGCCATCCCTTTCGACCTCAGACTTCTCTTTCTCCGCCCCGTCCCCGTGATACACAGGTGACACAGGTCACAGGGTTTAGGGAGATTCGGCTTCTCCGGTTAGGAGCCCAAGGCCCGGTGGTCGATGCACCAGACAGTGCCCTCCCTCAGGGTCCACCTAGCGCTCAAGCTCCGGCTCAATCTTCTTTCCATACAGCCGCCCCCGACTCTCCCGCTCTGCCCTCCCTCACCCACGAGCACCCTCATAGCAACCAGCGCGAGATCCGCAGCCCCCCCCCTCGCGCATGCGTCTTTAGGGAAACGCGCGCCTACTGGGAAGTGGGCGGGATGGAGGCTGGGCGTGGCCCTGCCTGCGGACCCGGAAGAATTCACAGCAGAGGCGGTACCTACACGTACTTCATTGCGAGGCGTGGGACTGGGTGTGTGCTGAGTGTGTGCTGAGTGTGTGCTGAGCGTGTGGGGCGGTGGAGGAGGGGAAGCTCGGTGAAGGGTCCGAAGCGTGGTGGCGGGATAGACCCTGGGGCCCGGAAAGAAGGGGAGGGGGCGGGAAAACACCCTTGACGGAAACCCCGAGCTACTCAAAGCGCTAGATTCTCAAGGTCCGCTCAGTTTGCCAGTCAGTAACCCACCCACCGTTGCAATGGGTTTCTTTTTACCCGGCCATATATATTTTTTCCTCTTTGTTCTGGCCCCTTCTGTCGGCATTTACACACTGAAGTCTCAAAGTAACCCCTCTCCAGCCCCATTTTTCCTCCGCTGAGGTCCTCTCTCTGTCTTCACCTTCATCGCCAAACTTCTCAAATGAGTGGTGTCCATTTTCTACTTCCAGTTCACTGCTGTCTGATTGACCATTCAGTGCCTCTCTCGCCAAGATCACCAGTTTCTCATGTGCCACTGACACGAATGCCTAGTTTTCAGTCATTTTTCTTGAACTTTGTTATCACTGGACATGTGCGGACTCCTCCCTCCCTTTGGAAATGCTGGTCTCTTGGCCTCGGTGATAGCCACACTCTCTTCTGGGGTTTTCTCCTAGCTCTTTTCAGCCTTTGTTGTTTGCTTCACCTCCTCCAAGGTTTTAAAATGTTGGTTTCTCAAAGCTGGGTCCGAGGACCTTTCTCCCCACTATGCACTTTCTCCCAAGCATCTCTGTCTGTGAATTCTATTACCAGTTTTTCAAAGACTTGCTAAACCTATGCAACTTGAATGTCTCCTCGGGGCCCCTGGCTCCTATAAAAACTAACCACTAAACATCTGTTCTTGAATGTCTGAAACCCTGATGATTTTACTTATTAAATATTGCCCATCTATTTCTCTATCTCTACCACCACCACTCTGGTCTTCAAGTTATTATCGAAACTTTTGTCTAAATGTCTGCAGTTGTTTCCTAATAGGTTTTCCTGCTTCTGCTTGTTTTTCCTCTCCTAACTGTTTAGCAAATTGCAAACTAAATGATCTTTTAAGAACTTGTGGCAAGCCTGGCCGGTGTGGCTTAGTGGATTGAGTGTCCATGGACTGAGAGGTCCCCATTCGATTCCCCAGCAGGGCACATGCCCAGGTTGCAGGCTGGATTCCCAATTAGGGGGCTTGCAGGAGGAATCGGATTGATGTTTCTCTCTCACATCCATGTTTCTATCTTTCAAAAAAAAAAAACACACCAAAAACTTGTGTGGGAAGAACACTATGGTGGCAGATACATCCTAAAAAACTTCAATTGCAAAGTTTCTGGATATACTGGATAAATTGAACACATCTCCATTTAAATAGATTGCTGAACTAGCTAGAAAATAAAATATTTCCAGAGACCAAAAACAAAGTGTACCTTGGAATTGAGGCTACTTTGTGGTTGTTTGTCAGTTTCAGTTACCCCAGAGGCTTGGGTGACAGGAGATGATGCCTGGGACCCAAGCAAGATTGGCACTGAGACCTCTGCATAAAGTTCTTGGTGGACTATGTCCTTAGGGAAAAAGTGAATTTAAAAACTCACTTAGTATCAAAGAACATGATCAGGAAACTTGTTGCTGTAGGCTTGGCTCTTGGGTAGGATTGGTTGTAAAAAAATTAGTCTTTTCTGAGAAGTTGTATCTATTGGCCTGCCCTTATACAGTTTTTGAGTTTGAATTCACTGTCACCTGCTTGATCTAGGAAGCCCTAAGCCAAGAATTTAAATTAAGTGTTCCACATAGGAGCAAATGTAAAACCTAGGTTTCACAGGATCCCAATAGATAAAATCCTGCCAAGCATGAGCATACGATCCAGAATTATAAAACACAGGAAAACAAACCACTCTGGGGAGGAGTCAACAGAAACAACACACAGCAGAGTTAGACCCAAAAGGATTTCAGACACTAGAATTTTGAGGTATAGAATATAAAACTAACAACTCTAAAATGTTTGAAAGAGGAGACATTAAAAACATGAGAGACAAGATGCTATAAAAAAAATTTCAGCAGAATTGATAAAGAACGAATTCAAATTCCTAAAAATGAAAAACATAATGATTGAAATTTAAAAACTAACTGAATGAGTTTAAGCAGCAGGGAGTAGATTTATCCTTGGTTAAGAGAAGATTAGATATGAAGAAATTACTTATAATGCAGCACAGAGAGACAAAGAGGTAGAAAATATGAAAGAAGAGACAAGGAAGATAAAGTGAGAGATTCTGCCTCTTTTGGTTGGCATCCCAGAAGAGAAGAGACAGAGAAGGGGATAGAGAAGAGGTAATAGCTGATTAATTACCCAAATTAATGAAAGATATGAATACTCAGATTTAGTAAGCAAAATAAATTTCAAGTAGAATAAATAACTTTATGCCTAGTCATATCATAATAAAACTATAAAACAAAGAGATTTTAAAAGCATGTGGAAAGAAAACATTATCTATAAAGAAATATCAATTAAATGGACAACTGACACCTCAACTACAACAATATAAGCCAGTAGTACAATACAATAGTAACTCAAATAATGAGAAAAATAATTGCCAACCTAGAATTGTTTACCAACAAATACATTCAAGAATGAAGGTAAAACAAGGACTTTTAGATAAGCAAAAATGAGAGTTTACCATCATCAGACTTCTAAACTGTCAGGAAAAAAGAAAATGACCTCAGAAGGAAGACGGGAGATTAAGAGAATAATGATCAAAATGTCGGTAAACAATGAGTAACTATAAACAAATATTGACCATATAAAGCAACAACAATAATATTTAATTTGTGGGTAAAAATGAAAACAGAACTGAAATATTAGTCACCAATAATGAAGTATGTGACTGGAGCTGAAATGTTGGGAAAAGGATAACAATACTGAATACTATTAAACAGTTAAATATACATTTAAAAAATTAGCCTTGGCTTGTGTGGCTCAGTGGTTGGAGTGTCATCCCATGCACCAAAGTGTTGTGGGTTTGATTCCTGGTCAGGGCACATGCCCAGGTTTTGGGTTCGATTCCTGGTTGGGGTTCATGAGTGAGGCAGCCAATGGATGTTTTCTCTTTCTCCCTTTCCAAAATCAATGAGAAACATATCCTTGGATGAGAATAAAAAGGAAATAAAGGACAACTATTGCATATTAGAAAAGAATTTAATCAATTTAAAAAATCACCATTAAAAAAAAGCATAAATAAAACAAGAAAGTTCCAAATAAGATAATAGGAATAATCAGTAACCATAATATATTTATACAAACTAAGAAATTAAGTTAACTAGATTGGAATTACAAATTTCAACATGGATGAATCTTACAACTATAATATGAAGCAAAAGGAAGTTGCAGAAAAGTATTTACAATATGATATTATTTATTTAAAGATTAAAATAAGCAAAATCATACTTTTTTTTTCCATTCATCTTCAGATAGAGTGTGAGGGAGAAAGGGAGGAAGAAAGAGAGAGATTTTGAACACTGATGTGAGAGAGACACATCGAGTGGGTGCCACCCACACGACCCCAAGCGGGGCGGGGGACAAACTGCAACCGAGGGCTGTGCCCTTAGTGGGAACCGAACCCAGGCCTCTCTGGTCTGCGGGCTGATGCTCTAACTGCTAAGCCAAACTGGCCAGGGCCATACTGATTTTTTTTACTGAGGACATAAGTAGATTTGTAGTTGAAGTTAAAAGGAATGCATAGGAATGAAAATGAGAAAACTCAGGATTTCCTGGAGGGGGTAGAGTGGGAATGAGACCAGGGAAGAGTACACAGGGGACTTTGATTTCTTATTTCTTAAGCTTGGTGGTGGTAGGTACATGAGCATTCATTCACTTTGTTTTTCTTTGTATTCTTATATGTCTGAAATATTTCATAATAAAAGTATATAGTGGATTTAACATTTATAGTCAGATCTCATATGTGCAGAAACATAACTTTATTTTTTATGGTTGAACATAAATTACTCATGAACATATTTCCTTGGTAGTGGAATAAATTTAAACTCACCCAACCCAAGTAACTTTATCATTTCTAGTTTAAATTTCTTAGTTAACTCAGTTTCTCTGAGTAAATTCTTAGTTGTTCAGTGTGCCATATTCCTCTCCCCCTTTCCTTCTCTCAGCTATTTACCTGGACGTAGGAGGCCTTTGGTCCAGGCACTGTCCTCTAGTCCTCAATGCCTGCTCAGAAGAATCTCAGCACATTGGGCCTTTAGATGTTGCCTGCTGACATCTAAGGTACAGCGGTTTAGGTCAGGTCTTTGGGCATAGTGTTTTGATACTGATACTCATGCTTCTGGGTATCATACCTTCTGCTTTTGATACTCATGGTCCTTGCCTTGATCTCAGTGTTCCAGAATCTTCCCTGGGATACCAAGGAACACTTGGCTTATCTTCAAGTCAACAGCATGGAATGTATGGGTCTTGGTTAGTCTCCCCTCAGGATCATCTCTTGATTAACTGCACAGTCATGACGTCCCAGTACCTTGCTGCAGTCTGGCACCGTTAGTTCTATCTGGCTGTTAACAAATTATCTCAAAACTTAGTGGTTTCAAATAAGAGTATTTTATTATCTCATATGATTTCTGTGGATTAGAAATCTGGGAACAGCTTAGCTAGGTGTTGTAACTCATGGTCTCTCAGGTTATGGTTAAGATAGCAGTTAGAGCTGCAATTATCTGAAGACTTGGAGGATTGTTTCCAAGATGGCTCACTCAAATGGCTTTTGGCAGGGGGCCATGTTTCTTTGCTGGTTGTTGGTAGAAGAAGACCTCAATTTCTTGCCACACGGACCTCTTCATAGGGCTGCTTGATGTCTTTACAACAAGG